GGAAGGGACGGGAGGAAGGGGTTGACTTGACTGGCGTTTCTTCTATTTCTTGATCGGTCGTTGTCTTCCATGATCTGGCTTGTCTGGCCATGTTTACACCCTCGCGCACTATTCGGTATCCTGACCCGCCCTCTGCTTCGACAGACAGGGCATCGGATGTCTATTGGGGGTCTGCCTCGCCATCACCCACAGCCAGCTTTTCCTTAGAGTAGATCAATATTCCCAGTTGTTGATCCTGCGCCGCACAATTCATCATTTCGTTGTCCAGATGTGTTTCCATGTTGTTTTCTATTCGTTCTCCATCCAACTCTGTCGTGGCTTTTACAAGAGGCCCTTCCTTGCCAGCTCAACCTTTCGCGCCGCCTCGTTAGCCGCAAACCCGCCCTTCGAGACGCAAATGCGCTGGCCTTCGGAAAGCTCGAACTTGTCCTCGTTCATCGGCCAGGGACACGGGCAGTGGTGGGGGTAGTGCACGCAGGCGAGAGTATCGGGACACAGATAGTGTTCGCAGTAGGCTGTATATGTCAGTCATTCATGCCGTATTTCCCATTGAAGAAATGGCATTCTCTTACATCGGTCGTACTGCTGGCGGTATGCTGCTGAGTCGCTGGGAACGTTCTGTGGCCTTTGCTGTTGGCCTTGTTGCTGGCCACCAAACATCTGCTCGAAAAAGCCGAACTGAGCAGAGACTGTGCTAATAAGTGCAAGAAGCACAACTGAAAGAGACGTGAGGGCACGCATCGTCAGGACTTAGAATGTACAGGCACAAGATGGCAGGTAATTGAGACTTGATCAAGTGAGCACCGCGCGTGGGGGGAGTGGTCTCCAATTGTCCAAGTGGCAGCTGTCCAGTTTCTGGTGGAGCCCATTGGGCCTTATCGCTATCGACGCTCGATGACTAAGCCGAAAATCTCCATCGCCCGACACGTTCGATTGAAGCTCGATCCCTGAGACGAGACGTCAACCTCAGCCTACTGACAGCACGAGCATCACCACGAATTGGGGTAGCGTCGCATCCTCGAAGCAGCGATGCGTCTATTCCAATTGCAGCTGCCCATACGGGCGGTCACCGCAAGTCTCCTCCGACCGACCCTGTCGCTCTCAGTCGACGCGGCCCCCCGAATTCACATCGATGCCACCAATGCCCTCGTGGCCGGCCGACGATACGCCTCCGTCAAGGCGCAGGGTCAATACAAGCTGAAGCCGCGAAAGACGATCCCGAAGAAGCTGGGAGCGAAGCGTACAGGCGGTAGGTCACCCAAGGCCGGTCAACCGCTTTCATCGGTCCTCTAACGCGTCTCCCCCCCTTTTAGACCAATATGTCATCCCCGGCAACATCCTCTACAAGCAGCGCGGCACAATCTGGTGGCCAGGCGAGAACTGCATCATGGGCCGCGACCACACGATCCACGCCATGGCGACGGGCTACGTCAAGTACTACCGCGATCCCGCGCGCCACCCCGACAGGAAATACATTGGTGTCGTCTACAACAAGGACGACACGCTCCCGTACCCGCAGAACGCCGAGCGCAAGCGTCGTCTTAACATGACGGCTCACACCATTGTGCCGCGCGCCATCGAGCCTGAGATTTCCGCCTCGGGCATCCCCACGCAGGTTGTGAGGCCCGGCGCGGCGGGCCCCGACGGCAAGCCCCGTGGCCCCGCGAGAATGCTGCGCCTGCGCGACGACTACAGCTACCGGGAGGACAACTGGCGGGTTGGTCGGCTGGTGAAGCTGGCGGGTGTGACGAAGAGGGGAGGCGGTCGCGGTGGGCGCAGCAGCCGCAAGGCGAGGTTCCGCTCGAGGCGATGGGTCAAGGAGAGGATGGCGCTGGGCAGGCGGAAGAGGGCCGAAGCCATGGAGGGCATGGAGGAGGATGAATGGACCATGATGGCTCAGCAGAGGGCGATCGAGGAGAAGAAAAAGAAGGCCAAGGGCCAGCAGGACGCCAAGAGGGCCAAGGCTGAGAAGGCTGCCAAACTCAGGGCTGCGGGCATGCGCAAGTCGGCCGCCAAGAAGAACTAGAAACGGGTAGTCGGTGTTGGGTGTACGGATAGATGTCTGTATTGTATCATATTGTTGCATAAGACTTGTGATTATCACTGCCTTGGGTGCTTGGAGAGGTTTTATGTTCGAGCTACCAGCTCTGGTCTAACAAGTATCGTCAGACGTAGTAATTCTCAATTCCTCAAGATACGGGGCGGAGACGTTAACCCAGAACTGCTCAGTCCCCACAGTCTCCGAGGTTCAATGGACGTGGAAATGCTGAACTCTATCGTGGCCTGCACCGAGATGCACGGGCCAAACCACACGTGATTGCTTCATCCGTGTCATATCTATCATTTCTACACCATGACAACCCTCGTTCTTCCCAGGGCCACACTAAAGCTACCTCGCACGTCTAGCTGACCTTCTCTGAATTTCTCGCATTAGCTCTTGGTGTTGATCGTGGTGTTTTTTCCCAGTGCACGGCTGTGTTCAGCTTGACTCTCCCACGGCAGGGACGCGCCCCCTTACGCGACTTGGTGCGTGCACACCATAGGCACTCATTTGAAGTGAGGCTCAAGTCAACTTACCTTTACAAAATGACCATCGTGTCTCTCTGACACTATAATAAGGTCTATGAAACGATTCCATTGAGAGACTCACGGCGGGTTCACAAGGCTTCGCCGCCCGCCACAATGAACGACCTCAAGGCACCGAACTTCATTCCTCCATGGGCAACGTCCTTGTTAGGGGGAAACCGGAAACATGTCGCCGTTCCTTCAAAGGAAGCAGGGTCTCACAACGACAATGTCCGGACCGATAGTGCTGGGGCGAACCCCAAGCTCTCCGACAAGCAGGGTGACAGGACTACCAACGTCTACCAGGTGGATTCTTCAGAAGCTCCGAATGACACTGATGGCTCTGACGAAGTCGACGACAACAACGACGATGACGATGAAGACGGACTCCGTAATCTGCCACGGTCCTTGAGCCTTGAGACAGAACACATAGACAGCGACGCGGCCCGTCCCCAAAGCAGCTCGTCCCGTGCAGAGGAAAAGCATCCATCTTTCAGAGTGAGAACAGG